ATATGAGGAAAATTTTAAATAATTAGATTCTTGAATATCTTACGGTTTAATACCATACTCGCAATTTTAAACCTACTAAAATTTCTTAAATTGTTCTTATAGTTCGATAAAGATTAACTTTCGTAGAATGAAAATGAATGGAAATGAACCACACGTTGGTTGGCGCATTTAACTTGTATGGAGTAATATTCACTCAGAGAATTATAATGAGACAGGTATAATATAATAAGTAAATAAATAAATTTCAATACAGAAACAAATTTAAAGTACTAATGGGAATATAATTAAAAATAAGAAATTCATTTATCAAAACAATATTATGCATGACAATCTATTATTCAACGTTTACCTTTATTTTCAAATATTGCCAGAAATGAAGTCACGATAAAGAAATCTAAATACTTCAGACGGTTCGACGCGACTGATACAATTTTTAAGCTCCAGAGTCTCTACTGTTTCCGAACAATAAGAAATATACGTTTCTGTGTTCACTTTTGTCACCGCATAAAAATGGCCGTGGAACGTGCGACGAAACCTATTGTGCAGGTAAATAATTGAGAAAAAGCTATCGGTTGGTGTAAACCTTAAAATGGAAAAATGCGCAGTGTCTCGGTCAGTTTTGCACGAAGCTTTCTGCACCTCGCACAGATATAACTCACGATCGGGAACTGTGCTGAGGGTAGACACCCCTGAAATCTGGTCCCTTCGAGAGGATATTTCAACTGGAGCATGGCGATAAATCGAATGACTTATTATCGAGTGCAATATCCCAACTAAACGAAGAAATGTGAACAGAAAACATATTCTTCACTGGGAAATATTGTATCTTCGTTAACGGTTTCTAACGAATCCCTTTCTTCAACGACCCTATTGGATGTATACGACGTTGTAGAAGCGAAGCTACATTCACTGTCAATGAAAGGATAAAGACGAACTGCTGATTTTTATTAGCCTTTAACGCTAAAACTACCGAGCTTTTAAATTAACTTTTTGAAATTCTTGCATAGAAACTCCAAGACGGTATCTATTCATAGTTTAATTGATTTTCAATCCAGTTTGCGTATTGCTAAAACAATTTCTTTAATCATTTCTCAGAGAAACATCTGTTATCTTTTTAATTTACTTCTTTTTACTCATTTAAACACCACTCTATAGTAATCATGTGAACTACATTACGAAAATTTCACCTGTTCCAAAATTCACGATATTTTATTGTATGTAGTTTGTGAGACCGCACATCCTTACTTAAAGGTTAAAATTAGATTATCCTAAATATTCTCTTCGGATATTAAACGATATTTTAAGAACGACTAGTGGATTTTCGATTTTCCAACTGGTTTTGTGTGAGTATAATTACATATTTTGAATTTTTCTAGTGTATGTACAGTTATGTTCTTAATGTTACAAAGTAATTATCAACGATGATGTATATTTAATGCATTGCAATATTCAAAAATGTTAATGGAAGGTAAAATAGACTTTTTTATCGCAGAATCTTCTATTTTAGCTAGAACAATTTTCATCTGTTTAGGATATTCATTTTTAATTCACTAAACAAATTTCTTATAGAAGTTATAGAAAAACTACATTATTTACTATATATTTACACAGCTAACAGCGAAACGTTCTTTAAACATAGGCTATTTGTATCTTTTACATGAGCCATTTCTGACTCATTAATGATTCTTTCCAACGCTGATTAAAACAGCGTTAAAGGTATAGTAGAATTCTTTTAAGATCATTTCATACACAATTAACATAAAATTAACTTTAACTTGGCTTTTCAGGTCGTCACAAGGCCAAATAAATGTGATTTTCATTTATTCTCCTTGATAAGGAGCTGCAACTTTCGCTGGAAACGTTTCTCCATTTTTGGAATGTTTACTTTAACAGATTAAATTGAACGACGCTGTACGTATGCAGTTGTACGGTCAAAATATTATTTATTCAGAATATTACTTCGAACTGTTTGGACACAGATGCAATACGATTGGACAGCCGCGGTTTAATAGAAAATGTTGTTCGAATATTTGATATTCTCGTCGAGGACGTAGCATAAATATTGCTTGACGTTCACCAAATATTGAAACAACATTCTATTGAGTTAGAGCAACATTCACCGCTCTTCTCACCTGGTAAAAATACATGCAATAAATAAGCACAAGGATAATTTAATAGAACATTTAATTTTTCATGAATCTGATTTTAACTAATTTCACGTGACTGAAAGGTATGCACCATTTTGTAATCATGAATTTAATGATCCTTCTATATATATTTTGATAATACTATAATTATTCATATGAAAAATCATATAATGAGAGACACATTCATTTGAGTGATACCTTCTTTTGTATCAGTAAATATATTTATATAAACTGATAAAACATCTAAAATAGCGTATACATAAGAATTAAACTATACGTATACACGTGTCGATAAATTGTTGGGCATTTCCGTTGGATGATTAAACAGATTTCGAAGTCCAATTTGAAACGTGAATGAGACTACGGTTTCAGAGATCTATCAAATAAATTTTTGTCCTGCCAAGCTCTCGCATTTCCATTGTTACCCGAGGGAGTGATCAATGACAGGGTGACTGAAAACATGGATGATACAGAAATTGGCAGCCTTCCTTCAGGTATTCAATGTGCCATAATCTGATTGCCACATTGGAAAACTGAATTGAAACGATTATTAGACGTGTTTAACAATTGATTTAACGATGCGTACATAAATGCAGTATGATTAATAACTGCAAAGATAAATAAACATTTTCTTACAAAAAAAACTGCATCATTTTCTGTGACATAAACATATTTTAAATCTGAAATTAAATAATGATTAACAATAATGACTCAAGTTGTTATATAAAGAAACCTTTCTTATATATTTTCAAAATTAGGTCTAACATAAAAGAATTTGTTACATATTAATATCATCGTATAGTATTAAAATGTTAGTTCACTTTGATGAATGAATAGCGCAAAGATAAATTTTTAAAGTGTCACAGTTATTTTTTTAATAATATAATAGTCTGAACTTGTGATCAAGAAGGTTCCTAAGGTTTCATGGGTGAACAGCTTTTTCCAATCGATTGATCCTTGTCTTTTTCTCCCTGTCAATAATCGAAATTCAGTATGCATTCAGCATTTTGCGATAAATATCACGAGATCGAACTTCATTACTATCGTCCTATCAGTGGTCATTCATTCGGATAACACTATGGCCACTTCAATTCATCAAAAATTACATGTACGTTCACACGTCACTTTTATGATGAATGTTCTCCATAATTCACCTTTGCATACTCTGTACTGTACACAAATTGAAATATTCTATACATTCAATGAAAAATAAGATTACTAAAATAATAATCCAAATACTGTATTGAAGAAATTTTGTGAAAGTATAAATAATTAGAAATTTAGATTCTTTGATAAGAAAAGTATTACCAAGTTAATAATTACACGTAGAAAATGATAGTATCGAAATGACAGATAATTAGATAGTAATCTTTGAAAATCTACTGTGTACTTTTTGGGAAATGATTTCAAAATAATATAACGGAAATAAACACGGAGAAGAAATGCTTTAACGAATCAATAAGAAACCATCTGATAATCGTAACAATTATTACACGTAGAAATTAATTCAGTACTTTGCGAAATTAATATATCGTCTGTTTAAGACTAAGAATAGAATTAAAAGACACTGAATTAACCTCTACATCTAACACTTTATTATTTAGTTTAATTTTCTAAACGTAATACTTTTATTACTTAACGTCCACTTTTTAATCTCCTAAACCTAACACTTTTATTATTTAGCTTAATATTCTAAACCTAGAATTTCTTTGTTCAACGTTCACAGTTTAATCATCTAAATCTAACAACACTTCTATTATTGAACGTTCACTCTTTAATCTTGCAGACCTAACACTTTTATTATTTAGCGTTTACTCTTTAAAGCGGAATTGTGAACGCACAAAGGACAAAGGTAATTCAGGGAACGTGCAACCAGAGATTTGAGCCTCGCAACTGCACCTCCGAGAGAAAAACCGCAGATGGAGAACAACATAGGGCCTGCAACACGTTGATGGATTCGATCGGAATAAAAACCAAGTGTTTGCCATTTACAGAGAAGTGAAATGCGGTTTCGTCGTGACGGCATATCGATTCGACTTGTAGGTAGTAACGAAGTGAAGTGAGACTGATTTCATTATACGCTATACTGTCACCGAACGTGCTAGTCGTAATCATGATTGACGAGACGATGTATTATACATGTTTCCAACGACATTTTCTATGTAACCAGCTAGTCGCGAATTACATAACAGTACACGCGATGCTGGATTTCAATTATTACGATTAAAAATCAAACGCTGAATATTTCTACTAATTCCCAGATATGCAGAGAATATCTAGAGAAACTTGTCTCCTGGTTTATCAATATTCTATCAATAGCATTATGCACCGCGTAAACTTACATTGAACAAAATATTAATCACACTATTATTCCCAACTACAATTATAACTATTAGAATTCTTATATATCCCGTCCATTTCAGAGTTCTTTCCAAAGAATCAAGTCATTCCCAATATCAAAATTTATCAAAATCAAAGAAAAATTCTTAAACACGTCGATTTAAAACTATGTCCTTTAGCTAAAACTATAATTCAATCCTTAGACTATAAACAAAATTAAAACTGTCAATTGGACAAACCGCTCGTATAGCACTGTTGCTCACTCCAAATTCTACGTCTATGTAGTAAAATAAATCAAACTTAATTTCCCCAAGGGGCCAAAGTGGAAAAAAAGTGTCACCAGTCCGAGGGTTAAAAAATGAAGTAAAACACGATAGGTCTGTTTTATCACTCGCAGCTCCCAATTTCAACGCGACACTCGCTCTAAATAAATTCTCCCGAGACGGAATTGCGGCGGCAATCGAAAATCGTTGGGCGCGTTACCGATGACAGTGGACGGGCCACAAAACTTACCTTGAGGTAGGACGGTGAGCAAAAGGACTATTTGGAGACCGGCGCTGACCATACAAAGCTTTATTCGCATCTGCGGCGGAGCCCTCGTCTGGTTCGCCATGGCGAATGAATTTTGCAGGCTCATCCAGGTCGACATCTCTTATTCGCAAAGGTCGGCCCAGCCGAATTCGCTTCTCCGTGTCGTCTGGAATTCCGGATACGGGCTCTTGTCCGTGCGGGGCCCGTACACGCGCGCACTGCAGAATTTCGTGTCACTTCCCTGACTGCCGCGGCGATCACCGTACCGAACGTCGCCCGGGAAACTCTTCGACGCGTGCTCTTTCACTGATTAGAATCATGACACCGAACACGTCGGGCCGTGGCGCGATCGCGAGTCAGACGCTCGTCCGTCAGACGACGCATTTATTAACCGTATCACCCTACTCAGCCGTCACAAACCGTAGTACGTTTCCCCATCACTTTCCGCGCACGACAATGTACATTGGCTCGAACTTTCCGCGAAGTCCTCGCTCGTATTGACAGTGGGGTTCTAGGTCCGCGTCGAATTTTCCCACGCTTCGGGCATGCTCCTGTTAAACTCCTGCAAATAATTGTTCCCTAATGTCAGAGTGGTTTTACGAATCGGCGATTTAGCTTCTATTTATTACGGGAATTAATCTAACGCGCGTTGCGTTCTTTGGTGATATCGGTAGAGCTTTTTGAACTCTATCGAGTGATATGGATGGGTTTCAACGTGTTTAGTATATAATTAGACTTGACTTGCGGCTGTTCTTGTTTGGAATTTGGCAAACGTTTTTGGATTGAAATAAGGGGGTCGACTTAAAAAATCTTTGTCTAACGTTACTTTTGTCTTGGAATTAACAACTGTTTTTGACAATAATTTGTTTATTTGTTTTGTCACGCATGTGCATTGAAGATATAGATCATTTTTTTCTGATAACAAGTTTTTTATATTTTTAGCAAACATTTTGTTAGTTAAATTTCGATATTCTACGAAAGCTAATGCAAATGTGATAATAAAATGAAGTGTGTACTCTTTTTAACAGGACTTTGGGCTCGGAGAGAAATTAAAGGGAAAATGAAATCTTGATATACGTAGCTGTAGACAGATTATCGACAGTTTTTATTCAAACACTGCTGACTCGCTTATTAACAAGCAAACATATCGGTGTGTTAAAGGTAATAAAAAATACGATATCTACTGATAATCAACGTTTTAAATACTAGCTATTGCAACGCAATAACTACGTCCAAAACAAAAGTAATTTTTTGTTTTAATTTCTGTTTTACATGTCATGCTGCTTTTATAACAACAAATGAAAACGGACATGGTAATCTTCGATAGTTACTTTAATTTTTTTATAAACTAAATTCGTGCAACCAATATTATATTATTTATTATATCGAGACAGCTAATATTGCATTACAGTTTTTATACCACTTGAAGTTTCATGTTTGTTTTTTCTTATAGTATACTCCAATATTAAAATATCGATTAGTATAACGTGACAGTGAGTGCTTATTGAAGCAACATTTTGTACAGTTTAGATAGAATTTATTTAGATCTCAATAAAATCCAATCAAAGGAATGACATTCTAATTCCACTTGTCATTAGTGAGTGTAGAATTCGATGTTATTAAATAACGAAACATAAACTTTGAAAATTAGTGTAAAACGAAAAGTATGTAATAATATATGTTTTAAAACGAAAACAATGCGAGAAATCCAAATTATTGAAACTTAGCGAAGCGCTAAGCTTCTAGTACGACGTATGGCTGACTCATACTACTAGCCGGTTTAAGGAATGACAACGTGTTTTCTCACTTTAAAGTACATCTACCTATGCAACTCATTTCCACTTTTTTTACAAATCTATTTAAAATAACACGTTAATACTTGAGAACATCCATGTATATTATTTTTTACGAACTACTTTCTAAAAATGTGACGTATAATGAATTCTAATAATGAATAGAAGTATGTCATTTTTCAGCTACTAAAACGTGCTTTATACGCTGCTTCTATACCTTTTCGAGAAAACGAATTGAAGAACGAGACAAACGTTTCCGAGTTACTGAAACTACCGGAGAATTAAGTAATTTCAGGATACGGCAATAAAGTTGATTAAACTATTCCTTTCGTGGGCACAGAATGAACTACGTGATACTAGATTCTGTTGATTTACACGGTGATTCTTAGTTTACTATTTCTCTATAAGTGGAAAGGGATTTCGTGTGTTCCCATCGGCAAGACGTGCTCCGACTGAAAACAATTCCTTGTCGTTTCACCATAAACCGTTATCTCAGACTAGCACACATTATTTTCGAGATTAGATTGAGAACTTTATGGAATAATGGAATAAGGAATCTGTATAAAACGTTCATCTTCGAACTATGATAAATTTACTATCAACAAGTACACTATTCTCCAAATTCAAGCTGAGAATTACTATCGCCATAATAATTCACTGATATCCTTAACAACAGTTCTGCTTGTAAAATCGAATAGATGAGATTTCATTTCTGTTTTAGTAACCCTTTAAAATACGTATACGAAAACATGAAGAAATGGAAATGTCCGTGTTCCTGATGTTAAAAGCACTGAATGATATCAGGACAAAGGGAAAATTTGGTTCCTTGCACACTGTGAACAGTAACGAATATTAAGTAACATCACCAATTTAATCATTTCTCCGGAGTTTTACCATGTCAGGCATTTCCACGACTGCATTCCCGAAATATCCCACCGGCAGAAGCAAATACGCCGGATTATATCCGCGGTCGAACCGAAAGAGCAACCGCAAGTCAAAAAAAGTCATGGAACATGGAAATCACATTTCCCACCTACCCATGAAATACGTTCTCGCGGAAACTACGCCCGGAAACTTTCAATACTGATTTCTAACTTGTCAATACGAACGTACCTACGATTGCGTTCAGCGGCTGTCGCCGGGTATCATTTATCAGTAACACCGCAGCGTTGTGGCCTTGTACACGGGCTCGTTTCGAGCCGGCACGGGTAACGCGTATACCGTGGAAAAGTTTTTCGAATCTTTCGGATCCGCTTAGTTCACAGGTGTCCGTATTAGTTATGCGCGTTCGAACCGGGAATACTCCTCTTTTGCCCCAGTGCTGATCCACGAAGCATTCACTCTCCCGGATAAACGGACACACTTCCCTCCCCTCGGAGTTCAAAGCACTTTGTTTCTCTCCCTCGCACTCGGCTGCCTTCACCTTTCGATCTTATCGAAACTCCTCATCGGTGATCCCCCGAAACGCGAGTAGCAAGGAGGATCGCGTGGCAAGGTTCGTCGACCCGCAGCAGCCACCAGCAGCAAAAAATGTTCAATTCCATGAACGAACGGCGTGGCGAGAGAACGAGTCACCGCCGGATCAAAATCGTATTCCAGAAGCTTGCTAGCACCTTGCTCGCACCTTGCCCCGGCACCGTTATCACGCTAGGTCCCGGCCTCTCCGTAGAAGACGGTTATGCTATCGCGATTCTTGGACGCACCACGAGCCTGCGTTCGGCGGCTGATCGGCCTCGTGCATCGTCTTCCTCGTTCCGCTACTGTCCACCGAATCCTCCATCCTTTCGGGTATTAGCACCACCTTCCACCACCTCCGCTGCCTCCTACTTCACTGGGAGCGCAACACGGTGCTGTCCGTATCCAGGCAACTTGGCCAAGCGTGCTGCTCCCACTTGCCAGCGGGCTCCTCTCTCGCATCAGATCCTTTCGACGCACTTCGTTTTCCCTTTCTCGTCCGTGAAAGCGCGACTGCCACCCCCGTGCCCGTGGAGGATCATTCTCGTCGCAGCAGCTGCCGCCGTTCGACCTCCGCCACCCTCTCTTTCCGCCCCTCCGCCCCCGTCAATCACATCCTCGATTCCCGCGGGGGATCGGAACGATGACCCTGGTCCACGCTCGCGTATCACCTCGTCATGGTCCTCGCGCCGCGACGCGGGCTACCGTGCCGTGTTCAGCCGCTTACCCTGTTGCTGCTGCTGGCACCCGCCGCTCACTCTCTCTCCTTCTCTCTCTCTCTATCTTTCACTCCCGGTGTCTCGGTCACACTCGGCTCGGTTCGGCTTGGCCTCGATCACTCGGCGGGTTCACGGGGAACGAAGTAGATACACGGGGGCCGATGATCAACGTCGCTCGCCACCGGCCGCTAAACCGAGGATGAAAGTCAAGCCGGTGCGCGGCACTTCGCGACCCGGGGCGGAAACCGTCGGAACGATACCCGGGGCCCTGTTTCGCCTTTCGCGTCGAAAGCACTAGTTCACACGCGACCACGTTGGCGGCGGCGACGACGACGGCGTCTACAAGCAGGCGTAGGCGACTCGCGGTAGACTGAGACAGCGGCCCCGAGAAAAAGGTGAAGCGGACAGAAGCGAGGCGTGTGCGCGGATAGAGCCAAAGGGGCAACAGCTCGGCGGATGGTACGGT